CGCCATGCTTATCGCTTATTTATGAGCTATGTACTTCATGGAGTCACTCGCTGAGAGTATGCAACGAGTCTGAGAAAGATAACTTGTGCATTTGCGTCGGGAGTTACTTTTGATTATTTCGAATGACTTCGTTCTGCAACTCCACTCATAATGATAGGTAATAACGTTTATAATTGTATTATCATAACTTGAGAACTCCGTTTCGTTCCTATCCTTAGATGGAGTACTGCGTTGTTTCTAAGTCAATGTCAAAAGAGCGTCATGTGCAAATTTGATAAATTTTGCTTTAGAATTGTAAAAATTGCCATTTTCAAACAGTATGACATTTCATTCGTTTTTAACTCAGTGAAATTTGCTTTCTCTATCCATATCTGGCGTCGCTTCTCAACTACTAAAGCAGAATTCTTACACCCTTGCAGTAATTTCTACTATCTCTCGATCTATCCTCAGTGCTTTCACTATATGAAAGGCGAGGTAGATCGGTGTCGAAAACATATGTGTGCGAAGTTTGGCACTGTACGGTCCACACACTAAAATTTCTGTAAAGAAGTTCCGAAATTCTTGTACTGTGCTGGAACTGCGCTGCAAGCGCTGCAGCCCCGTATTCAGTTTTCAGCGACGGGAGTGAGAGATTTCTGGCCGCTTTTAACTATTCAATTCACAAATTTTATTCATTTCGGTCCCAATCCTCTAAACCACATCTCCTTGTGATGAGAAAAGCTGCGAGATTGAAGCGGGGTTGAATAAATAAGCGCAGTTCTACTTCTATGTATCCAGAGAGATGTGTCCTTCTTTGCTCGTCCATTCTCTTTTCCTTATATTTTTTTCAGACTTACTTCATATGAGAAAGCCGTTGCGTAGATTCCACAAGCATCTATCTTAAGCTAAGGCCTGTCAACAATTCTCGTAATGCAAAAAACGGTACTTTTCTCTAGTTTTTTGATGAGTTTTTTAGCATTCTCAGCCGTTTTCCTTTTTCCATCATTGCTCATCCGTTATTTCTGCTACCTACTTCTTCTTGCAAAGAAAAAACCGGAAAACTAGGAGCGGAGTTGAAGAAAGAACGCTGTTTTGTTCTATGTATCCGGAAAGATGAATCTTTGTGCGCTCCTCTACTCTCTCTTCGTTATTTTTGCGACATTCTTCATGTGTTTCAAAAAGCTGTTTATGAGCCTTTCGAAACAAAAGCAAAACTACGCAGCAGCCGTAGAACACATGAAGAAGGTCTAAACAATGAAATGAATGATATGTGTTGCCTGACCTCAACCGGGCATAATTATAGCACATTCAGACTAATGGGATCACGAAAGATGAGCCATTTAATCTCTTTTTGTTTTTATGTTAAGAAGAGTTCACGAACTGTCTTATCTCTTTGATAAAGTAAATTCGTCTTCCTTTTTAGATAGACATTAGCTATCATGTTGTGATCCAACGTTGAACTTCGTGGTTGTACTGTACGCACGTGTAATTGCTTGGCTGGGCAATCACCAACTATTTCATGAAATGGAACACCACTGTTGACACAGTGGTGTTCCATTTCATGAAATAGTTGGTGATTGCACAGTGCGCGTCAGGAATAGCTTTCGAAATGCCTACTGTCACTGTCAATAGCGTTGCTATTCAATTCACTGTAAAAACGTACCTCCATTTGAACTTTGTGAAGCCAAATTGATTGATTTACTCTAATTAATTCAAAAACAGTCGAGGCATGTCAGTTTAGACAATTGTCCAAACCGTCAAAATGGTAACATTCTCGGCACTTACAATGTAGTATATCGCTGAAGTTTTTATGAGTCAATAAAGAAAATTAAGGATAAAGAATTCGGCATCTTCAATACCTTCTGCGGACATGCGCCTAACGCACTTTACTTCATAATTAAAGGGCTATTAAATGCTTGCAAGTCTTAAGGGCAGCGGTCGGCTGAACTTAGCAACTCAGGATTCTAAAGTCATACGTTCCTTATCGCCCAAGTATGAAAACAGTGGCATCCCGGTAACAAAGCATGCCTTCCCTGCCGAGAAAATTGCTCTCAAGCTTACACGCACCCGGGCGAATTTTGGCAATTTTTTCTCACCATTGGAGGCTGCCCGCTGCAGTGCTATAACCGTTGGGTCCCGACGATTCAGCGTCAAGCCTTCCGCCCACTTGTCCAATTTCAAAGAGAAGGGCATTTAAAAAAAACGCTCCTTTTCGCCGTTTTCAAGCTCTCTGAAGTGGATTTTCGGGATAAGCGTATTTAATAACCCCAAAGCGGAAACCTGACTTAGTTGAGGTTTGCCGAGCCACTGCCTTTAACAGAGACAAGACAAGACAAGCAAGAAAGCAAAAATAACTTTTAAAATCCTCGAAAATTCGAAAGTCACTTTCCGATGAAATTTATATATTCGTTTATTCAAATAATCGAACAATTCGTCGAATGAACGAACTATTTGAATGGAGGCTTTCTATCAAATACTTTACACATTTCTGCAATTCTGACTTACCTCAGTGCTATGAATTGTCTCATGGCAGCCGGCACTACAAGGTGACCCTAACTCCTCTCTCTGATTTTACTATTGTTGATGTGGTCACTAAAGCATATAAATACAAAAACTTTGCTTGCTAAAAGGGAAGAAAAAAATGATCTTTTATGTGTTTGCGATATGCAAAGTTTACGGCAGTAATCGTTATTGTCTCCGACTGAAACGCGAAGGTATGCCTTGAAGCTGATTCAAGAAAATAATGGAAATGGATTCGGCAAGTAAAACTGCAGTTTGCAAAAAATTGAGTAGCTGCTCACTGGATGAACATCCGGATGAACGGGAAAAGAATAAAGGAGCAAGCGCACTAGGAACTTAAAATTAATAGGACTCAATTGCATGTAGCATGAGACTTTTTAATTTTCTCCGAAATGCGGGAAAGTTTTCACTGATTATCTCTAGAAGAAAGGCAAGCCATCTAGTGGTGCGGAATGGAAAAGCAGCCGAGAACAATTTTTGTTACCAATTTTGCTGTAGGAAAAATGAAACCTACATATGCGTTGGCTACAAAGCTCAAATCTACATACATATACATTAGGTCGGTGCAAAAATTTTGTCAATTTTCAATCCATCGGCAAACACGCTAGAATGAAGATAAACAAACATTTCAAAATGTATCCGATGCAGAATTTCTTCCTCTTTCCAAGTGCCAAACAACCATTTTGTTTTGTTGCGAGAGTGACGAGATATTTGCCGAGAATTACATCCACTCGTTTTTACCATGTCCAACTTTCACTAATTTTCAAAATTTTTGTATTAGGTTTTCGGAGGAATCCTAATAACCAGCAGATAGGGCAAACCTTTTACCAACTTATGCAAATTTTTTTTTTTCACCTGCTTTTCCAGATTTTTGCTAGATAATTTTGTAAAAGTCTTATTTTTTGGAAAAATCGCATAACCTGTCATTGCACCAACACTACAAAACCTATAGAAAACTGAGGTTTCAACACACGATTATTACTACCGCTACCACTACAAAGTAAATGAGCGATTTTCGCTTCAAATCATGAAGCTTTTGAAACATAGGTTACGTCATTGCGCACTCCTGAAATTGGGAAATATTGCGATTTTCACCACGAATTTTGCCTGTCTCGGCAAAAAAGACAAGTGTTAGAAGAAAAAGAAAAAGTTGTATCGAATGGTGACTGAAGTGTTCAACATTTTATGTTCTATGTGGTCAAAATAGGCTCAATGGAAAAATGGTCACTTCAAAAAATAAATCGAAGAAATTCTGAAAGACAAGCCGTAAGGCTACAAAAATTACTTAAGTTGGCAAATTCTCCCTATTTGCTGGTTATTAGGGCTCCTCGGAAAGTCTCATAGAAAAATTTTGAAAATTAGCGAAACTTGGACATGGTAAAAATGAGTGGTTGCAGTTCCCAGCAAATGTTAACTTGTCTTCTTGCAAACTGCAGTTTGCAGGAAACTGAGTAGCTGCTCACTGGATGAACATCCGAATGGACTAGGAACCTAAAATTAATAGGATTCAATTGCATGTAGCATGAGACCTTTTACTTTTCTCCTAACTACGAGAAAGTTTTTCCTTTTGATTTGAGCGGGTCCCAAGCTAAAAAATTAGTATGATTTTGAAATTAAAAGTACCGTGTTTTTTAGAGAGGTTTTAATTGTTTTTTAATTAATTTCGATCTACCGTAATTCTTTTTAGAAATGGTCGCTACGAACGTAACAAATTGTTTTACAAACAACAAGCCTTGGCAGTTTTACAGTACAAATGTATTCGGTCCATGGCGAGAAAGAAAACTTAGCTTGGGTACCGCTGCTGCAGGAAACTGGAACTCAATTTGGAAAATAGTAGAATATGGCACATATTCTTATTGTGTAGCCGAGCTCGGTCGAGCTTATTACTAGCGAAATTTACTATATTTTTTAACAATAAATTATAAAAAACCAAAAAATAGAAAGCATTCACCCAAATTGCTCCCTTTGAAGCGGTGAGAAACGCATTTCAAATTCTCAATAATAGTTGCAAAAAGCTGATATTTTTTCTTTTCCTATCATCAAAAATAATTGGGCAATTTTCTGTGCAGAGCGAAGACAGTATCACTACTGCACTTTTGGTTTTTATTTCTGACGACGTTAGATTATGCTTATGCCAAATATTTATGAGGGAGTGTGGTGCGGAAGGCGACAATACGTGCAAAAAGCGATGTAATGCCCCCGCCTCTAGCCTCGAACTGGGCTTGCGTTCTAGCGCGGACGGCGAGCAATTCAAATCGCAGTCGGTCTTACCGATCAATAGCTGCCATTCACTACGTTCCTTTTCTAATCTTGCTCATCATTTTCTAGTAATTGCTCATAACTTTGGGTGAGCTCTTATGCTTTCCGTTTTCTGTGAACTCGCACATTCATAGCATAACCAATTGCTCTCAATCACTCGATTTTTTCGACTTGGACAATCTAGTTGATCAACTTAATTTTGGTTTGACTACTTATTTGTTCCAAAACCTCTTTATTGGTCCGGTTTCTTCATTTGAAGTTACCCAGTTTTATCAGGTATATAGTGATTAAAACTTCACACATTCAAAAAGCTTTTATTTTGAATCTCCTGCTTTCAGGACAGCTATCTCGGGAAGCACGCGCATACTCACAATCAGTCTATAAGGCTGAGTATGCGCGTGCTTCCCGATCTGACAGGACTACCAGCTACCGCAAAGTCAAACAAATATCACGTCAGCCGATATTATAAGGACTTTGTTCTTGTGAGGCTTTCTTTTTGGAGTAATCTCTTAGTCATAGCTTTATGTATGTAAGGTTCTCAACGCAGTGAAATTCACATCTGCTGAAGAATTCACGAAAGGCAATGCTACTTACGTCGTCCCTGGCGAAGAGTGGACTAGCATGCAATCATTGGCTAAAACTGTTCTGCCTGGACTTGGAAACAGTTACACCGCTATCATCATAGCAACGATGCTGTTGCCACTGACAAGGTAGCTGTTTTACTGTATCTGTTCAATTGAAGTTCCTTTAATTCTAGGCACGAACGAAGCTGCGATCACATCTGAAATGGACGAAGCGACTGGATCACCATCCGCAGTCAGTTGTAAGTACAAGCATTCTTTGAAGGAAAGCATTTATCAATGGCGTAATCTATGCGTGCAATGAGAATTTGAGCAGAGATCGCAGTCACTGTTGAAATTTTTTAAAATTTTTTGTAGGACCAGAAATTAACATGCCCGTAGACTTGCTTCCATATAACAGAACGAAATATTCAGATGTCATGCCTGATGCGTGAGTTTTGTTCTTTAAAGATTTATTTGATCCTAATTTTTTTGATAGTAATTTTGAGCTTTTTCAATGCAGCAAGCGAGTTCTGATACTCGATATATTTGAGTAGGCAATTTTGTTTTTCTAAAAACGATTTAGGTCTAAACTTGGCTTCTGCATACTCTATTTCGAGGGAATTAACAGTGTCGTGCGGAATGCTAAAAAAAGATTTGTCTCAATACCTGTGCGGTCGCTGACAAATACCACATCGTAAGTTAGTATTATCCACGCATTTTTTACTGATTATGACACATGATGTTGTAGGAGTTTTGCCGATCTCAAATGCACGAATTGTATTATTAATTCTTTCATCAAACATGTGTTATAGGTTCACTGTACGACTGAAGTTGAAGGAGATGTCACGGATAACGCTGAAAAAGTCAAGATTAGCAATGGAAGCCCCGTTGAGTTCAAGTAGGTTGACTTTTGAATACCTATTCTCCTTTTGAGATTTCCTCATGAAATGTCCCCTATTATTGTCCAGTGGTTAGTTGTAGTTTTTTTCCCTTTATCGTCCTTGGAGAGTGATAATGGCACATTGGGCTGAATGAATTTGATTTTCAGAATGGTTTGCATCTCGAAGCTGTCACGGGAGAACGCGGCCTTGTCATCTCTTGGTCTCTCATTCTACTATTCCTTCCTTTAGGCGCATGACTGCTGCAAAGTACAGTGCAGATTTTGCAAACCGGTAAGTCTTTCCGATTTTGGATGTTTAGTGGAAGATGGATTGAGTACCAAATTTCGGCCGGTATGTAAAATTTGTCAAACGTGTGGAGCATGTCAGAACGTGGTGTATGTTGTCCAATACAAATTTATCAAGTTTTGACATGCTATTCACGTTCTACAACCGTACCTTCCGCCATTTACGTGCGAGGTAAGAGGCTACGTGCGTTTAAGGGAGCTTGAAGGCCTAGTGACAGTGAGACGCCATTGTTCATTTTCATAGTTTGATTGATGTTCTCTAGTAATATGTTAATACAACAATTTAGAAAAGCCAAGAGATATCAACAATCTCTGCGCTTCAATGTCAACGATCTCCGCAGCATCGTCGCTTAGTAGTGGGTCTTGTATTTTATACTACATTGAGATTTTTAAAGTGGCAAAATTAGCCCTGATAGACATTCTTCGAGGACGTGGCTACAGCTACGCTCCTTTTTTCAAGATTTGGAATAATGGGCAGTGTGGGAGGAATATATTAGGTCGTTCCGAAAGTAATGTCGCTTTTTTCAAATGAACGCTACATTTCAAGGAATCAACATTTTGAAGGGATCTTAGAACCATTCGATGCAGCATGTCGTCCTCTTTCTAATGGTTGTAATTTCATTGCATTATATTCAATGAGCTCTAAGAAAATTACCAAAACCCGCGACTCATGCTTTTTGTCATGGTCAATTTCGGCTGTTTTTCTATGTTTTTGTACTGACTCCCTGAAGATGTACAAGTAACAGATAAATAGAGCAAACCCTACAGGGCGCAAAACAATTTTTTTCTTTTCCTCATTTTGCTTCTTAGAGTTTCTAGAACCAATTTTTCAGAGCTATCAAATTTCATATTTGGTCAACTCAAACCTCACAGAACAACAATCGGCAAGCCATTCGGGTGCCATTCGATGCAGCTTTTTCTCCTCTTTCTACCAGTTGTTTTCGGTTTCCGATTTATGAAGTTTTCCGGGATAAAGGCATCATAGTTCAGTTTTTCCAGGGCGCCCCAGGCTGTACCCGAAATTTCCGAAAGTTGCTAATCTGAAGCGGTAAAAGCTCAAATGATTTGTAAAATTAGTGTAAAACCATAATATATCTTATAGGCTTCAAATTCCGAAAATTTATTGGTGTTTGATGCATATGTGTTTGAGACAAGCCTGCACAAGCTCGGTGACTTTATTGAAAAATCTTTACAAAAATCATGACAAGATGCGGAGAGCAGAAAAAATTGGTATTGTTTCCCATAGGGTTTGCTCTATCCATCCATTACTTGGACTCCTTCCGGGATTTATTACATAAAGTTAGAAAAATTGCGAAACTTGACCTTTCCAAAAAGCATAGGTTGGAGATTTTAGTAATTTTTCAAAAGCTCATGGAGTATTCTGCAATGAATCTACAGCCGTTAGAAAGAGGATGAAATGCTGCATCAAATGCTACCAAGATCTCCTAGAAATCTTGCTTCCTTGAAATGTAGCGTTCATTTGAAAAAAGCGACATTACTTTCGGAACGACCTAATATATTGTGGAAGGCAGTCAGTTCTTCTATTACTAACAAATTTGAGCTAGATTGGGAGTTGGGGGAGAAGCTTAAGTGACATGCTGAACACGAATAGAATTTTTATGCCTCGAGTCATTTGAATCTTAACGACGGGCCATTTTGGGCGAGTCTCACTAACGTCTCTAGCGCATCTGCCATGCGCATACGAGCGTATGCAGAAAATCATGTAGGAGTCTTTCTGACACTTATGCTCAAAACATGCAGCGGTAGAAATATGTGTATAAGACAGAGCCTTGCCATTTACACAGTTTTTTTCGCTTTCCCCTCCACTAAACAATGCAGTGCTATGTCTGGGAAATCTCTCCTTGAGATGTTAAAGTGTGTGCAGCGATGTTAAAGTAGACCCTCTACTTAGGCGATGAGTTTGGAGCGAAGAAGGGGTCTACCAAGCCTGAAATTCGCTCCGAAAGCGGTCCGCATCCTATGGTACGCCCGGACGCCGCCCCTTCACGCTGCACGAACTGCAAGGCCAGAGTACGTACGCATAGAGCAGACATTTAAGAACGCGGGGTTCCGCAACGACTTTGCGTCTCTATATTGGCCCATCTCGTACTCACCCGACCTACCATAGAATCCGGGCACTTATATGTTTATATACAGGGTGTCCCAAAAAATTTTTCGAACGTTTGATCGTTAATATCTCTCTTCCCAAGAAATCTTTTGCCTTGCTTCAGGGACCGTTTTGTAGAGCTGGCTTCAAGTTAGATTTGCATTATAGAACGAATCACCCATCTCTCTTCATTATACTGTAGGATTACGGTAGAAACTTGAAACATGTGGTGTCAATGTGGAATAAGATTGCCGTTTCAAAATTTTTCAAATAATTGTGAAAACTTGTGTAATAGGGTTTTTATGGACGCTGAATTCAATACTCAACTGTTCACAAGGTTACGAAGTTTTCTAAACGGTGTAATCGCACTTTTTAGGAACATTGAAAAAATGGCCGCTACCTCTTACCTGGCATAACTCTTCAATGAAGCATCATAATAAGTCGGAAACTTTACAGTTATAATCAGCAACTCCAATTAGCCTAGTGTAGAAGCTTTCAAGCTGTTTTGTTTCTTTTCTGAGGCAAAATATGGCCTTTCATTGCTTAAAACCCTCTTTCAAGTTTCTACCGTAATCCTACAGTAATGAATGGAGATGGGTGATTCGTTCTATAATGCAAATCTAAGCTGAAGCCAGCTCTACAAAACGGTCCCTGAAGCAAGGCAAAAGACTTCTCGGGAAGAGAGATATTAACGATCAAACGTTCGAAACATTTTTTGGGGACCCCCTGTATATATATTATATATATATATATATTAGGTTGATGCAAAACTTCTTTCCGCCCAAATTCAAAAATTCATAACTTGTTGAATTCTTAACAAATCTGCAAGTTCTAAATTTTGCTTGAGAGAGAAACTCATGCTCTTTGCATCCGTATTTGACTTGTTCGTTAAGGTTTACAAATTAAGGAGATAGAAGCTTAAAACCAAAATCACTCAAAATTTGAATTTTTCGTGTAGGGTCATTAAAAATCGGAAACCTGCAACAAAAATCGGAGCAGTCATGATTTCCCTGAAAAATGCCAAAATAAATCAAATTCGCCCTTTTGTATTGCTTGCTCGAAATTCATAACTTTTCATAGAGACACTCGATTGGTGCAAACTTTGCACTGTTAGAAAGAGCTGGTGAAAGAACCTACAATGCCGACTGCTCCGATTTTTGGTGCATGTTTCCGATTTTTTATGACCCTACACGAAAAATTCAAATTTTGAGTGATTTTGGTTTTGAGCTTCTATCTCCTTAATTTATAAACATTAACGAACATTTCAGGTACATATGCAAAGAGCATGAGTTTCTCTCATAAGTAAAATTTAGATCTTGCAGATTCGTTGAGAATTCAACAAGTTATGAATTTTTGAATTTGGGCGGAAAGAACTTTTGCACCAACCTAATATACTATACAGGGTGTCCCAAAAAAATGTTAACACTGTTTGATCGTTAATAACTCCCTTGATTTCATGTCTTTCGACGAGCTTTAGGCACCATTCTGTAGAGCGAGGTTCAACTTAGATACACAGCATGGAGCGAATCACCGTTCGCTCTTCGTTACTGTAGGATTACGGTAGGAAACCTCCAGCATGTGGAACCGTCGTGAAATATGCCCTCTGACAAATTTTTTTTCAAAAGATTTGAAAATTCGTGTAGTAGGGTTTTCGCGCATGCTGATTTCACCTAACAACTTTTTACGAGTGTTTTCAGCTTGTTTTACGGTGTAATCACATTTTTTGACACATGCTGGGAAGTCAGTTATTACACTTTACCTAGGATAAGTTTGGAAATAAGTATCATAATAGAGTGGAAATTTCATATCCGAAATCAGCGGCTTTCATTACCATAGTGCAAGAGATTTTGGCTTGTTTGGCTCTGTTTCGAAGCAAAAATGGTCTTCAATGGCCTAAAATCCTTGTCAAATTTCCTACCATGATTCTACAGTAACGAGGAGAGTTAGATGATTCGCTCCATACTGTAAATCTAAGTTTATCCTCGCTCTACAAAATGGTTCCTAAAGCTCGGCGAAAGACTCGAAAGCAAGAGAGTTATTAACGACCAAACAGTGTTAACATTTTTTTGGGACACCCTGTATATACAGGGTGCCCCAAAAAAATGTATCGAACGTTTGATCGTTAATATCTCTCTTCCCAAGAAGTCTTTTCTCTTGCTTCAGATACCAATCTGTAGAGCTGGCTTCAACTTAGATTTGCATTATAGAACGAATCACTCATTTCTCTTCATTACTGTAGGATTACGGTAGAAATTTCAGAGAGAGTTTTAAGCAATGAAAGGCCATATTTTGCTCCAGAAAGGAAACAAAACAGGCCGAAAACTTTTACACCAGGCTAATTAGAGTTGCTGATTATAACTGTAAAGTTCCCAATTTATTATGATGCTTCATTGAAGAGTTATGCCACGTAAGAAGTAGCGGCCATTTTTTCAATGTTTCTAGAAAGTGCGGTTACATCCTTTAGAAAGCTTCGCAATCTTTTGAATAATTGAGTATTGAACTCAGCATCCATAAAAACCCTAATACAGAAGTTTTCACAATTTTTTGAAAATTTTTGAAACGGCAGCTTTTTCACATTGACACCATGTGTTTCAAGTTTCTACCGTAATCCTACAGTAATGAAGAGAGATGGGTGATTCGTTCTATAATGCAAATCTAACTTGAAGCCAGCTCTACAAAATGGTACCTGAAGCAAGGCAAAAGACTTCTTGGGAAGAGAGATATTAACGATCAAACGTTCGAAAAAATTTTTTGGGACACCCTGTATATACAGGGTGTCCCAAAAAAAATGTGAACACTGTTTGATTGTTAATAACTCCGTTGCTTTCATGTCTTTCGCCGAGCTTGAGGCACTCTGTAGAGCGAGGTTCAACTTAGATCTACAGTATGGAGCGAGTCGTCGATCGCTCTTCGTTACTCTAGGATTACGGTAGGAACTTCGACAAGGATTTTAGGCTATTGGACGCCATATTCTCCCCGGAACAAAACCAAACAAGCCAAAAACTCTTATACTACGGTAAAGGAAGCCGCTGTTTTCGAATATGAAATTTCCACTTCACTGTGATGCTTCTTTCCAAGGTTATCCCGGGCAAATCGTAATAATTGAATTTCTAGCATTTGTCAGAAAGCTGATTACACTGTCAAAAAAGCTAAAAGCAGTCTTAATAACTTGTGTAATGGAATCAGCGTGCTCGAAAACCCAAGTACATGATTTTTTAGATTTTTTTGAAAAAGATTTTGTCAGATGGCATATTTCACAATAGATCCACATGTTAGAAGTCATACCGTAATCCTACAGTAACGAACAGGGACTAATGATTCGCTCCATATCACATCTAAGTTGAACCTCGCTCTACAGAATGGTGCCTCAAGCTCGGCGAAAGACATGAAAGCAACGGAGTTATTAACGATCAAACAGTGTTCACATTTTTTTGGGACACCCTGTATATATATATATATATATATATATATATATATACCAGTGCGTCATTTTCGCTTCGCGGAGGTGACGCACTGGCTCCCTATCCGTATGCCTTTCTTATGTTCGCATGAGAATGGCTTTGAAAACTCACCACGCGATGCTGAGCATCACAAATAAATCGTAAACAACTGTCCATCATGAAGCATCTCCATGTAAGATGGTAACTTTGAGAAAGAAAAAAACTTTGTTGCAAGGAAACAAATGCGAATTTGAACGGATTACTGAATTTATTTTAGTTTGATAATCGTCATAAGGATAATAGTCACCCTTGGGCTACATTTCCGTGCAAGAATCTTTTGAGTTTTTAAATAAAACCTTGCCAAATCGACTATCTACGCGTCGTCAGGTAGCACGCATGTATGCAATACGCATATTAAGTCAAAGTAGCTTGTTGATACATACAGAGTAACATTTACGTAATGCAACATAACAATACAACAACAAAATCTCGTTCGTGTGTCAAATTCATGCATAAAGTCTCGTTCGTGTACTCCTTTTCCTTTGGACGCGTCACCACGCCAAAGCTTGGCCAGGCGGCATTCATATTGGCCTTACCGATTGGAGGTCCGCAGACAATGTCCCGCATTGGAGGTGCATACTACGCTTAAGGAAGCATGTAATTGACACAGAATACGTACGTGTCTACGTATCTTCCTTACCACCCGAGTGCTGCAGAAGGATCCATATCGGATATTCGCCTTGTGCATAGTGAGCCTCAGAATGTTCGCTTTCCTTCCCTTCCATTCTCGAATTACGTGCCCGATTTCCCTTCTCCGCTCAACGGCCGGCGTGTGACAAGTGCAATCGTCTTGCTTGCAGAAAGACGATATGCTGCTGAACCTGGTTTGTCTAGAATCGCGAAGCACGCCACTATGGCGTACCGCCTTCCGGGGCCGGCAATGTGTTATACTTTCACATATAAACGCCATGGAGCCGACCACATATTATATCTATGTCAGCAGTGCAAGAGCAAAGGAAAGTGGATTGGAATCAAAGTAGAGTTTCTCACTGCTTACGGACATATTCTTGATTGGGTTCTTGGTGTTGAACGGAGAATTTCTAAGTGATCCGTGCCCTTTGCGAATACGGTAAAGAGGAGTTGAGAACCACCAACCTCGCTGAAGCCTATCATAGGTTTGTTAATTATCATGGTCACTTGGACTATCCAACTGCTTACAGTCAGTTGAATACACTGATAACCCGTGAACATCCCCAGCTTGGAAAGTTAATTGAAGTTCTAAGAAACATCAATGAAGAAACTGACTCGGCACTCACTACACTTGAACAAGTATATTTGGTGGCAGATTTGGTGGAACTCAAGAATTAAGTTTTTTTTGCAGCGCCCATCACAGACGAAACATTTGAGAAATCGCGACCGCGAGAGGCGCGAACGAATAATATCCCATATGAGGAGGTTTGAAAACAATTTTCCCAAACATTACTCTATCGTATGTTCAGGTTTACCGACGAATACAACTCAGGAATATCTCGCGCACGCATCGAAACTTACTGCCGTACTATGGCGCGCTTTGTTTCGAATAGAACAATCTAATACATGTGAGTGAGTTTACGCAATATCAACCGTTCAATTCATGAATTCAGGGACTTTCGTTTCGATTTTAGCTTCATGGCCAATGCCTGTTTTCGTACTACTTACCACCGCTATTTACCACTGCTTTGATTTTCAATGTCGACATCACAATTTTACTACCTTAATGATCCCACTGGCTATGGTTTATTCCTGGAAAATGAGTCTGATCTGTACAGGTACCTTTTTTTCTTTCTATTTTACCAGGCTGCTTACATAAGTATTAGGGGTACGGTTCTTTCATCAATCTGTCCTATTGTTGCTACAGTGATCATCCTTCCTTTCACGAGTTCAAAGACTTGCAAAGTTTTGTTTTTGATCAAATCATGTCATCCTGTGAAAAGACATCACTGGACGATATTCTCAGCGCTAAACAGGATTCCACAGTAAGGTTTCCTTTTCGCTAGGACAGTTTAGTCACTTCTTTTTTCCAGGAGGAACTTATTCTACCTCATGTAACATTCAATGTTTTGGCTATACTATACAGCCTCGCTTATGGCTGGAAAGCACGTGATCGGAAATTTGGTGAGCTGGTGGCAAACTCTGTGCATGTAAGCGATCATTATGCGTAACACACTTTTTCGTTGTTTATTTGAATGTATTCAGACATTGTTAAAGGATTGTATTGATGCAGCTTTACATGTAAGTCCCATTGACGAATGAGATTGGTATACATGTCAAGTATCAGAGCACATCCAGTAATGAAATGTGAGGTCTCACAGCCTATATCGATATGTCAATGCACCCAAAGAGGTTGTCACTTTCAGGGGACAATCAACTAGCTCGGATGACATTTTGTATGCGTCCGATTTTTTGAAGTTATTCTTGGTAAATTGTATCAGTATTGCAACAGTTATAAACGTTCGTTTATAGAACAACAGCCATTCTCTCGGTTATGAAAGCGGTAAACTTCTTCGGTTGTCAAAGGAGTTGAGATGTCACGAAGTCCCGATGTCAGATGTCACGCCGAATTCTACGAGACTGAAGTCGGCGGTGCCAGAAGAAGAGTTGGATGCCACACTTGAGAAGATGATTTTAGATTCTACTACCAAACAACAAAATGCCCTAATACCCTAATGCCCTTACCCTAATAAAAGGGACCGAGGTGACGCATGGAGGCGCAGAAGCGAAAGGTCCCAAGCGAAGGATGAGCTCTGAAAGTATTCCCGAAGCAAAACGGATAAACCGGATACTCTCAAGATGAGCAGAAGATTATGAATCATTAACTGGATAGTGCCCGTACACATATGCTTTCATTGCAAAATTCGCCTTGCCAATTTCGAAATCTAGACTTTCTTCACTTGTCATGTAATATATACTTTCTTTATATCTCAGTACAACACTTACTGTTCCAAATGCTGGTGATAAATAGAGTGATAAATTTATTTCATCGCATATATACATCTTGATAGGCGCATAAATATCAGAGTCACGGTTCAAGCAAGGGAATCAAATGATTGTAAGTAGCACAATTCATAGACGTTGGAATAATTCAGGCAATAACAATTCAAATCATTTGAAAAAAAAAACTATGAAATCCGCAGAACTTGTGTAAAATTCTACCTTCGAGAAATGGTTACCTCGGTAACTGCAATGGCTTGAGATCACCAACGATTTTTATACATAAGATTTCAACTAATAAGTCAAATATCGGAAATAACAAAGCGAAAAAATTGACATCACAGATAGAAACTTTCTAAAACAATGACATTCGAGAAGCGAACAGCTTACATGTCGCAACTTACTCTACACTATGAGAAGAAACGAGCGTAAGCATTCGAAGAAATACCCAGTGGGCAAGAGATTATACAGTAGATCGGTACCTTTTCATCACTCCCTGACAATGATCACGATCTGCTTATGTTTGGGATCATCAGATCGATCCATAGTTTGGACGGATTGTAATATCAAATAGCCGAACATCAAGTCGCCATGACGAGGTTACTGATGTTTCCTAGGAAAAAAAATATTTTTGAACTTTCGCCAAAGTGTGACCACACTACTTACCCTCCCAGGAACCCACTGAAAACGTTCCAACACAGTCTTCGACTTGTCTGCTGAAGTACACCTGGTTCGTTTTTATGTCAGGGAATGATTAAAAGGTACCGATCGTTGTCGTTTTCTTGTCAGGTAAAACTCCAATTGGTTGGACCTACAGTGCAATAGAAGAAGTCCTCTTAAAATCTTTCTTTTATGAGCGTTACCTCTGTGTTGCGAAGCGATATACCAATGAGCACGTCGTCTTGATTGGTTTTGAAGAAAGTCGCTTGCGAATCACCGCAACCCAAAGCAAAACCTGCCACATCTTCGAAACAAACATTATTCACTGACGGCAGGGATATTACTTTGGTGTCGGCCTTTGCAGACTAAATGTACTATATATGTTAATTGAGGGCCAGTAAAGAATGGAATAAAAAACGTACCACGGACATGAAGTTTTTGCCATTATCTTGAACAGCCACGTTATTTGCGACAACATCAGTTAACATCCAAAACCCGCCGCTGGTTCCAGTGAAGATTAGTCTGAATCAGTAATCATACTTCATTTGAAATAGGTAAATCTCCATAGGGTATATTCATAAGGAAATCCTCAAAAGGAGAATAGGTACCAGACAATCAAGATCAAATAAATCTGTTAGATGAGCAAGATTAGAAAAAGAGCGTGGTGAATGGCAGCTATTGATCGGGGAGACCGGCTGCGATTTGAATTGCCGCCGTCCGCGCTAAAACGTAAGCTCAGTTCGAGGCTAGAGGCGGGGGCAAAATTACATCGCTTTTTGCACGTATTGTCACCTTCCGAGTGCCCCCCTTTATTAGGCATTCCAAGAACTGTATTCCGATGAGTAACGCAAGTCCCCAAACCTGCACGTGTTTTCAAAATAATCCATTCTTTGTTTGCGCTTTCTGAAAATTGTCTGAAAAGAAAGATTCAAATTTTACTTTGTTGCCCTTTTGAAGAGCACAACATGTGATTTTAGCAACGCTTAGAAATAGCACTACAAAAAAGGAACAAAAAGTGAATAGAGCTTTATGAACAACCCACTATTAGAGATTGTTTTCACTTTCCGCTTGTCGTATACACAAAAATCGTGTTATCCACTCAGTAAATTCGAATTGCATCTGTGAGAGCAGATAGACCATAGTAATGGGTAGTCTTGTTAGAGGATGTCTAGAAGCCTGCATGCGCATAAGGCAGGCATGCAGTTTAATGTTTACATGTTCAACTCGTGTCACTTAAACGACAAATCAGCAACTTTTGAGCTAAAACAAATAAACAAGCAAGCGACCCTCCATCTATTAAGCTCAAACAACTGTAACATGTCTTAAAGAACTTATACGTGTTTCATGACATTCCTCGCTCTGTGAAATTGCTTCCTCATTGAGATATAATTACACTCTCATGAATGGGAGACTTGAGCGTATAGGATTTCTGCACAAGAATGATCCAAGCGTGAAAATTTTCGCCCTATAACATGTGAGCTCTTCTCGATATACTGATTAAGCCTCATCAAGCCGAAATAGGCTTTAGCGCGCAAACAGTAACTATATTTGCAGAATCTTACAAATAATCTACCTCATTGAAGGCAGTGTCTCACCAGAGTTGAGGCCGCGCGGATCTTCACATGTTCTATTATAGGGACCTAAATAGGCCATTGCAACAAGTCCCACTCAATTTGACCCCTCCACGCTGAGAAAAATTCTCTCAAAGCGAAGAGCGATTTGGTACGCGCGGACGACTCTTTCGGTCTCCCCCATTACGCGTTTGAACATGTCCGTCCACTTGGCATCCACCTCCCTTCTGTTGCTACCACCGTAGCTGAGGCTGAAGTTGGAGGATATAACTCGTCCACGTTGCTTCCGCGGGGCCTCCAGAAAACGGGGTTTTGGGAAACTTCGTGCGATTTTGAGCCCATACAAGGCTAGACAGGGTTCGACAGGCATGCAAAATGCAAAAACATCGGCAACTAAATTTTGGTGGGACAATGCCTTTAAAGTATGCTATTTATTCTAAAAAATGAAATCCCCCTTGTTCAATTTTCTTTAAGCCGTAACAGGTTTTCAAAGGAACACTTTATTTACTGCCCGACGTTTCGGCTGAATGCCGTCTTCAGGGGTCTGAAAACGAGTCAATCACTCATAAATCAAACGATCTAGACCACCAGACACTTCCTCCAAACCGTATACTTGACTCATCTATTGTGATGCAGATAAGTTCTCAAGTTAAACAGCTTACCAAGTGTTCCTGGTGAGGAGCGTAAGGATGTCAGCTCTCTCTCACAGTCGCCCACAGCAAATGATGACAAAATGAGCGGTCCGATAAAGTACGATACGCTTATATGGTGTAGGCTGCTCACAGCTCGCAAAATGGTAAAAACGGCTTCAGATCACTAGTGATAGACAAATGTTCGTTTTTGCTGTTCATTTTAGGATTACGAGCAAGTATAAATGAAGCCTCTGACGCTTTTCGAGCAGCAGTACGTTCTTCGACGGCCAAAATGCAACACTGGACTTGGAGAGTTCTAAGAATATAATTCTGCATTCCACGTCTGCGCATCCATCTGCTGTAAAATGAGCGATTAACCGCAATATGTTTAAAACAGCGCGCAGTGTTTGCAGCGGTGAAGTTGAGAGACTGGAATCAACGAAATTGGCATACGAGATAGCTGTTAAGAATAGTTACCAACTGCAGTCCAGATCTCGCAAAAGCATGCGCAAATGGTAGCAACCAGATTCGATCACGTATATCACTATGCTTACCGTTCGTGTCCGATAGAGTAACCAACGCTTTCAAGCAATGTCTAATACAAGCGCAATTGGCGGATGATGTTGTTCTTGTGAACATACCCCAAGACAACATCAAAAAACAACTGGTCCGTAATAGGTTGTATGACAGACAATGCGTGATGCAAAATTGCGTTGTTTGCACAGATGAGAGATTATGAGACTGTTCAAAATTGAGTGATTTATCAGTTAAAGTGTAAGATATGCCATGCCATTTACATAGGCGAAACCGCTTCATGTACGTGCCAGCGAACATCTGGCCAGTAAGAGAAGACAGAGTCTCGTGAGCCCTTTTGGAAAGCACAGAAAAGAGGACCATGGAGGAGATGATTTTGAAGTCCAGTGTTGCATTTTGGCCGTCGAAGAACGTATTGCTGCTCGAAAAGGGTCAGAGGCTTCATTTATACTTGCTCGTAATCCCAAAATGAACAGCAAGAACAAACATTTGTCTATCACTAGTGATCTGAAGCCGTTTTTACCATTTTGCGAGCTGTGAGTAGCCTAAACTATATAAGCGTGTCGTACTTTATCGGACCGCTCATTTTTTCATCATTTGCTGTGGGCGACCGTGAGAGAGAGCTGACATCCTTACGCTCCTCACGAACACTTGGTAAGCTGTTCAACATGAGAACTTATCTGCGTCACAATAGATGAGTCAAGTATACGGTTTGGAGGAAGTGTCTGGTGGTCTAGATCGTTTGATTTATGAGTGATTGACTCGCTTTCAGGCCCCTGAAGATGGCATACAGCCGAAACGTCGGGCAGTAAATAAAGTGTTGCTTTAAAAACCTGTTACGGCTTAAAGAAAATTGAACAATATCTACAAAACATGCCAAGGTTTTACAAAAAGGAGACATACAATCTACTTGAAATCCCCCTTTTTGTACCTGCTTTGTTCCCTAGCAGGAATATGTTGGCTTCTTGGCCTTTGATCAAATTACTATTTGTTCTGATACTGTTTTCTATCATTAGCATGCTTCCTGAAGCTATACTATTATTGTGCACGTCGAGGAAAGCATTGCTGCTTGTACATAGGAACCTTATACAGATAATTCAGGTAAGGTCAGCTTTAGCCAACTTTCTTTATTTATACTTCTACACTGCTCCTGTTGATGCTCATCAATTTTCTGTTCAAAAGGTACTGATGAAGTAGTTTTACTCACATTCGGATGACAAGTATATATACAAAGCTTATTTTAACGCTCCCAAACTCGAAGCACTATAAATAACTTCAACTCTTCTAGTATTAGGTAGGTCCGAAAGTTCGTCCCGTTTTTTTACACGCTATCCTCAAATCATTCGAAATAAAAATAGACACACACTTTAAGAAGTGTTTCATGCAGAATTTCTTCCTCCTTCCAGCAGTGATTTTGTTTGGATCTTTTTATGTCCACTTGAACAAACGTCGGAATCTTAAACCCATGGTACTTCTGGAAAGGCATAATTATTGTCAGAATCTTAATTACAGTTAGATAGAGTACACAAATCTTTTGCGTCGATTTTAGCAACAACGACGACCTCATCCTCAGCAACACGTTTTCCATCCCTAATGAGGCTACAGGATAAGGTCGAAATCAAACTACCGTCTTACAAGTTTTCTCTCAGGCTTCATGTATACCTGACGATGGGTCGCTGTAGCTGACGATAAGACGCTGCCTGCAGCAATGCCTTCTGTGCGTAATGACTGACGCCAGGCGACGCTACTGCTTCTAGCTGCGAGTCAACGCGGAACAGACCCGCTATGGCTAGTGATTGCGAAGCAGCAAAATCAAACTGAAGTAACGACGAAAAGCTAGAAGATTCTAACGATTTAGTGGGATGTTACCAGTACACCTCAATACAATAAGGCAGCTATAAAACTAATAGTTCAGTCGTTCTTGCACCCAAAGCGTACCCAGCGCAGCAGCTACGAGCAGCTAAAGGCAGATCAGACATCAACGATTCGCCAACATACGCTACCTCATACCTCTATCGTCAAGTATATTTCACCTCACTGCCAAGACATTTCTTTGGTGATTTTTTTGGCTGCATTCACACTGATCCGTAAGTTCCGGAACAGTTGAAGCACAGCGCTCAAACTGTGCGTTGTGCTGAAACTGTACGGATCAGTAGGAAACCGGCCTTGATCGAACCTATCAGAAAAAGTAAGTTTCAGCATACTCGCTCGAGATGCAAATCATAATTTCCTTTTGAATCTACTTAGGCAGAGACATAAGCCTTTTTGGTGTATACCAATTGAAGTAGGGTAGACGAAGTTGTGTAATATATTCATTCACATTGGCGTATTAGTTGAAAGCGATTGTCGAGGTGTCCCGGTGTTAACCAGGGAGGAACCTCTAATACATTCGGAGGCTCCTTATACAGGGTGTCCCAGAAGTAAGTACACACTTTTCAATCGTAAATATCTCCCTTCCCATTGTGCCAATTTCCGCAATCTAAGTACCATTCTGTAGAGGAGGCTTCAACTTAGCCTCATGGTATCGAGCGAATAACCGATCGCTCTTCATTACTGTAGGATTACTGTAGGAAATTCGACAAGGATTTTAGGTCTTGGAAGCCATACTCTGCTTCGGAACAAAACCAAACAAGCCAAACACTCTTATACTATGGTAACTGAAGCTGCTTATTTAAGACATAAAGTTTCCACTTTACTGTGAAGCTTATTTTCAAAGTTATCCTAGGTAAACGGTAACAACCGAATTTCCAGTATTTGTCAGAAGTGTGATTATACCGTCA